CACACCCATAATCCCAGCATTGGATCATGAATGAATCACAAACTCGAGAAGCTGCCCCATGACTGCAAGAGGCTTTAGGGGGACAACTAGACACAAACCATAATATACATCCAGACATGGAATTGCTGAGTCATACAGTGGTTCTCTGTTTAACTTCTTAAGAAGTTGCCTTTACTGAAAATAGTGGAGCATTTCTTATAGTAAAGTTAGAGCATCATAATAAGAAGCATTAACATTTTCTGGGTGCTTGCTGTGGGGCCGGCATCATACTAGCTCCTTACAAGGCTATTTGTATAATCTCCTCCATAATTCAATGAGCTTCAGTGGCCTTCCCTAGCCATGGATTTCATGTCACATTTTCAACCAATTGTGGATTGAAAAACACTTGAAAAAAATGACATCAGTAATGAACATGTGCAAACGGTTTTCCTTGTAATTACTTCCTAAACAATATAGTATAACAACTATTTTACAAAAGTATTTGCACTGGGGGCCAGGGAGATGGTTCAGTGGAATATGCGCTTCCCTGGCAAGCGCAAGGGCCTGAGTTCAATCCCTCATTCCGCAAAAAAAAAAAAAAAATTTTACATTGTGCTAGGTATTTTAGATAATTTAGAGATGACACGTACAAGTTATGGAAATACTATGCATATATATGTGAAAGACTTGAGCATCTACATATTTTGGTATCTATAGAGTCTTCAAGTACAAGTGTCCTAAAGAATCTGAGCCATAGCTGCACTAGTAATAGTCCATAAGTGGGGGAATTAAGGAATAATGTGAGAACTCTCTGATAGTCCAGCTATGTTACCAGATAAAGCACCTCAAGGGCTGCTGGGCGTGACTCGTGAATTAGACATGTGACCAAGCACTCAAATCTCCGAATCTCTGTGGGAAAGCCCCGAAGATCTGAGCTTACTCACCTTGGGGCTAGGCTTTCAGGAGGGGTAATTTATGCTGCTGAGGGGATCAAAGGCAAATACAAGCTGGAAGGAAGAATTTCTAGAAATTCTTCTCCGGCTGAGATGTGCAACTGCCAGACAACATTCCCCTTTTGGGATGGCATTAAGCAGAAAGCTCAGAATAGGACAAGAAAGAAGCAGCTTTCACGTGTCAAGATCTGGAGTGCTGTGGCTTTCTGTGCTCCATCCAGATGCCCTCTGACAGCCGGCCCCCCCCCCCCCCCCTTGGGCGCCCCCCCCCCCCCCCCCCCGTTGGGACACTGAAGCTGGCAATTGGTCATACGTGTGAGGGCAGGACAAGAACGAGTGCTTAACGAGGTCAACCTACCTCAGTCTTCAGAAAAACATCCTGTCTGGACAGTTTCAGTCATTCTTAGTAACTTTGCGAAGGTGTAAGTACATGCTCTACTGTTGTTACTTAGGTCTTTTGCCCATCAGGCCTCCATCTGACCTCAGCTATTATCTGTTGTTTTTATTTTTTAAATCCTCCTCTTGGCTTCCAGCACAGGCTCTTTGGCCTCCGGCTTGGATCCTTGAGCCTTCCATGGCAGACTCATCAGCCTTCCATCCCTTCCATTGCAGACCCATAGTCCGACTGATACAGACCTGCACAGAACACTGCAGTGAGCTTCAGACCTTGGGCCTGACTCCTTCAGTCTCAGGTATGCAGATGCCCCCTGTGCACTTCCTCATCTAACTCTGTGGCTGACCCTCGTAAGCCAATCTTATAATTTCTTATACATTTGTACATCTTGTGTTATATCTATTCCTTGTATTATATCTGTTCCTCTAGTAAAACCTTGACTAAAACAATCTGGCTAAAGTTTTTGTCTTAGTTACTTTTTTCTTGTTGCTGAGACAAAATACCCCACACCTAAGTTAAACAAGGAAAGATTTATTCAGCTCACAGCTTGTGGAGGTTTCAGTCCATAATGAAAGCTGGCTCCAGGGCAGGGAGGCATGGCGCAGGGGCAACTACTCAAGATGGCAGATGACAACAAAAGCAGCGAGAGCACATGGAGGGGGGCAAGCCTCTTTTCCTCTCTTGCATTGTATGCTGGCTGTGGGCCCACAGCACCTCTTAGGCCTCCTCCTCCTCTGCACACTCAGGATGTCTGCAAAGCGAGGACCCTGCTCCACACTGAAACACCCAAGGAAACTTTAAACTTCTCAAGGTGATGCAATGAACACCTTGGAGCAGTAAGGTCATGTCCTTTTTACCCCAGGATGTAGAACTGCTCAGCTACCTAGTTAAGCTTCTAGACTCTTCAAGTTTACACAATTTATCAACCATACCGGGGATTGAACTCAGAGCCTTGCGCTTGTTAGGGAAGCGCTTATTCCACTGAGCCATCTCCCCGGCCCCAAATGCTTTGTTTTTTGGTGGTACCAGGGATTGAACTGAGGACTTTGTGCTTACCAGGCAAGCACTTACTCCACTGAGCTATCTCCCCAGCCCTTTTTTTTTTAAAAAAAAAAAAATATAGAGTATTAAAGTATAATCCATCTACCATACAGTGCCCCTGCTTATTCAATATTTTTGTAGTTGTGCGACCATTGAAATAATTAGTTTTAAAATGTCTTCATCAACCTAAAAAAAAGTAACCCTCTACTTTTTAGTCATCAAGCTAATTTTTCCCCATGTCAACCACCATCCCTAGGCAATCACTAATTTACTTTCCATTTTCATAGATTCATATAATGGAGTAGTCTTTTGTTTGGCTAATTTTACTTAGCATATTATTTTCAAGCTTCCTCCATGTTGTAATTTGGATTAGATTTTTTTTAGTTAGAGAAAAATATTAAACTGTATGGACAAACCACAGTTCACCCATCTATTCTTCAGGTGATGGATGTTAGATTGTTTCTATTTTTTGGTTATGAAGAGTAACATAAATGCTCCTGTGAACACCTTTTAACAAGTTTTTAAAAAATCTTATTTTATTTATTTTGAAAAATAAAAGGGGCCAGGGAGATGGCTCAGTGGAATAAGTGTTTCCCTGGCAAGCGCAAGGGCCTGAGTTCAATCCCTGGTTCCGCAAAAAAAAAAAAAAAAAAAAAAAGAAAAGCAAAAGCAAGCAGAAACAAAGACAGAAACAGAGTAACATACAACAGTACATATGGCACAGATTTTTAAAACAAGACTAGAAAATTAACAATGGCTATATTACATATTTTTATCATCAAATCTGTTGCTCAGATTAAGTGACATAGGTATGTAAGATTGGACAAATAATTGAGCATTAACACTTGTCTTCAATAAACCTTAATTTTTTTCTTGTCTTTTTTATTTTAAAAATATCTTAAAGAGAATATAATAATAACTGATAAGACATTAGAAACGGTACACATTTAGAAGAACATAGATGAGAGGTATTCAACTGTGGTTTTTATATTACACATTGATTATTGTCTTTAATGTTTTAAAAGTTTTTATGTGGATTTGTTTTTTATTTACATGCAGTATATACCTACAAGTGGAAAATATGCTCATATTACAACTCTATATTTAGCTTTTTGAAGATCATTTTTTAAAATTGTCACAAAATTTTACGATCTTAGCAATAGCGTGTAATGGTTCAAATGCCACCAAGTCCTTACCAATCCTTACTATTTTGTGTATTTTTTTTAATCACAGTCATTATAGTGGCTAATAATAGTATCTTTTTGTAGTCATGCAATTTCTTCTTTTTTAAATGTATTTAGGACAGGGTCTACAGGATCTACAGGGTCTCACAATGTAGATGGGACTCATAGTGATTCTGTTTTCAGTCTCCCAAGTAAAAGGAATCGAACTCACTACCTCACACTTGCCAGGCGAGTGCTATGCCACTGAGCTATATCCCTAGCCCCATCTCAGCTTTCTTATCTATTGAATATGTAAGTACATTTTTTATTACTTTGATTTTAAAGGTCTTATCAAGACTTTGAATTCTGTCTCTAAACTGATTACTTCCAAATTGTAGCTCTAGCCTGGAATGAGACCTGGAGCCAGAGCCAGACTCAAATATCACAGTGCCTGCTCACCACCTCCAAGTGGTCTCAGGTCCATACACTATCCTTCCCGTCGCACTCTACCTCAGGGGGTGCGTAGGGTCTAACCCTTGCAGGCTACAGTTACGACTGGAAGGTATTGGGAGGGGAACTCATGGGATCTGTAGCTCCCCTTTCTGGTCTTAGGGAGGCTGCACTCAAGTTCTGGTCTTTGACGACAGGATCTCCTATTAAAGCCCAGGTTTTCCACTGTTGCTGACACCCTCTGGGATACCTGGCCAAATCCTGTCTGGCCTCCCGGTAACTGTCTTACCTGTGCAACCATTTCCTCTGATTGGAATACTTCCAGTGGTCACGAGCCCTATTGCAGCCGTAACTGGTTTCTGCCAGGCATCTTAAAATCAACACAGCTAGGGGCCGGGGAGGTGGCTCAGTAGAATAAACGCTTAAGCGCAAGGGCCTGAGTTCAATCTTCAGTTCCGCAAAATAAACAAACAAAACAAAAAACCAAACCAAACCAAACCAAACAACACATCTAAAGCAACCCTCGAATTCTTCCTGGTGCCTTTCTCCATTGTGAGCGGCTGCCCTTCCACCTCACGAAGCATGCCAGTGCCGTCCCAGGCTGCTTTCCCTCTCACGCCTCTATCCAGCCGATTAGCAAATCCTGTAGGCTCCACTTGATGAGCACACACCTACGGTTGACTACTTTTCCCCACTTCTACTGCTGTTCCTCCCCTCATCCAAGCCATCATTACTTCTTGTGAGGAGTACTGCAGTGAGTTTCTAGTCTCCGAGGTTCCAGAGCAGACCTCAGCAAGCAGAGACTGCATAATCTGCACACCAGATGCTGGTTCACTCTATCCAAAATCTGTCCCTGCTTGTGATCTGAGTCAGACCTCAGCTGCGCTCAGCCCTTACCGACCCGAGGCGCATGCTCCTGGGGGCGGGGCTCCCACCGCCCGCTCCGGAGGGGCGGGGCTGCGTGGGGGCGGAGCCTGGGGCGCTTCCCGGCGGCTTGCTTCTCCGATTGGCTGCGCGAGTAGCCTGAGCCGGGTAGTGTAGCTCCCGCCTTCCAAGCCCGGGTCCGCTCCCCGCCGGGTGCCCTCCCGCCGCGGCACGCCTGTGTCAGCAATGTGATGTGCCCTTGAGGTCCCGACAGTGGCTCGGAGGGCGGCTTGGGGTGAGTGCAAAGCCGGGTGCAGGTGCGGGCAGGGGAGGGCGGCTGTCCCGCGCCCGGGCTTCCTGCCTGGCTCCCCCTGCGCCTGGCCTGGGGTGCCTGTTCTCGGTCGAGGCGTCTTCCTAGCACTGTGAAGAGGCCCAGCCTTCCAGGGCGCCCTCTGATTCCCTGAGCCGCTCCAAGCTCCTGAACTGCGGGCAGTGCCGGGACGCCGGTTCCCAGCGATCTGCCCTCTCCTGCGGTAGCTCCGCGGGCAGCCCGCCCCACTCTAATTAGCGGAGGGCGCGGTCACCAGCACAGCAGGGCAGTGGCCCTGGTTAGGGGGCCGGCGACTACTCTGCTGTGTAACCAGCTCACGCTTCGCTTCCAGCGCTGTTAAACTGTGACCCTAGTTTTCAACATGTGAACTCAGTAATACATCGGTGGGGTTGGTGGGAGAAGCGATTGATTTCGTACCCGAAGTGTCCTCCAATCTAGCGCATTGCAGAACTTAGTAGTTATTGTGTTGCTGATGACGCTTTTCCTAGAAAACTAAATGACAAGCTGTGTCGGGGCCTTTTCTTGGGCCACCGAACTGTTGGGCCACCCCATCCCACTTTTCAAAAATCTGTGTTGTGCAGCTGACGCACACGGTATTTGTTCCTTCCAGACAGACAAAACTGAGCAAGCCAGGCTGTGTGAAATGAAGGCAGGTAGCTGTTAAATGGATTGTTTCAAAATCTCAAGAACTAAGAGAAAGACCCGCAGAGCACAGACCAGTGCGCTGGGCCCAGTCCCGAATGGAATGGGGTATCTTTTCTCTTTCGACCTCAACAGTTGCTTCTTAGATGAGACGTGCTTATCTGGTATGTTGAGAAAGGAGGCTTATGTTGCAAGGAAAAATCCACTGGGAGACATTTCCACTGGAGTAGCTTCAGCTGTCATCCTGAGAGCGCTCTCAGTGCATCCAGGCTCTCTGGAACAGGCCCCAGGAGAAATCCGCCGCTGCAGGTCATTTATTTTACATTGTGGTATTGACCTTTAAAGTTTCCCCTTTCTGTCCACTCCTAGTCTCCCGTCCTAATAGACTGTGAGGAGATGCTGCTTAGGATAAAAGGTAGCCTAGGGCTGTCTAGCGGTGCCCAACGGGGCTTGCTTTGCCAGTGCAGACTCAGGAGGACCTTGGTTCCTAGCTGGAATTCGGGGATTCAGTATTCCTTTTTGTTGTTGTTGTTGTTGTTGTTGTTGTGGAACTGGGGATTGAACTCAGGCTCTTGCACTTGCCAAGGAAGTGCTTATTCTACTGAGCCATCTCCCCAGCCCCCAAGTATTTCTTAGAAAAATAACTCCAGGAGTAATTTTTTAGCAGAGGAGAGTCAATTCAATTTGATAATTTCTTGAACACTTGTGCAATATATGGTGTAAATACATTTTTAAAGACAACGATATAGTATGGAGGTATAATTGACATATAATAGGGCATATTTAAATTGTAGAATTTTCCACTTTTTGATGTATGTATACACCTGTGATACCAATTCAATATTATGAACCTGTGCACTATCTTCAAAAGATTCCTTATACATGTGCCTTGTAATCATTCCCTCCATTCCCTTCTCAGGCATTGATGAACTTCCTGTTAATATAGGTTAGATTGCATTTCTCAGCTTTATATTAGTGGATCAAATAGTATTTTCACTCTGTCTCTTTTTCTCAGGTCTGGCATTTTCTTTTTTTTCCTATGGAACTGGGAATTGAACTCAGGCCGTTGCATTTGTCAGGGAAGCACTTATTGTACTGAGCTATCTCCCCGGCCCCCTAGGGTCTGGTGTTTCAATACCACATGATTATTTTGAGATTCATCAAAGTTACTGTGCGTTTATTCCATGTTATTGCTGAGTAACACACACACACACACACAATTTAGTTATCTTCACCCATTTGGAGTATTCCAGATTATCCAGTTTTTGGCTTCTACATACAAGCTTTTCTTTTCTTTCTTTTTTTAAAACATTTATTTATTGTGTGTGTGTGTGTGTGCCAGCTCAGCCCACCAGGGGCCGGGGCTGGCTGGCATGTGGTGCTGGGAGAATCTAACCGCGGTCCCTGTCTTTGCCAAGCTTGTTCCAAGTAGGTGCTTTAGACCACTGAGCTATCTCACCAGCCCATAAGCTTTTCTTAACATTTGTGTAAAAGTCATTTTGCAGGCATATCTGTATGGATACACACACACACACACACACACACACACACACACACACACTTTAATGTGGGAGAACTTGATCGCAGCAGTTCCTCTATCTGGATGTCCATGGGAGAGTCACTTCAATTTTCACATTTCCCAGATCTTTGCTATGCTGTGGTTTTTCTGTCATGCCAGAGACTAGGTTAATCTTTTGCTTCCAGTTGGACTTTCAGGGGAGAGCTGTTGGCTGCGGCTCCTGTTTCTCTTGGAGACTGTGTTTCATTTCATTTTTTTCTCCCTTGAGTGACAATTTGAAACCTGACATCATTTAGGGCAAAAACAGAAGTGAGTAGGTAGAAGGAGGCAAGAATGAATACTATTTGAAATTAGAAATGTTTAAATTGGAAGTGGAATGAAAAGGTGGGGAATTAACAGACCCTGGAATTTTATGCCTCTTCCTTTTTTTATTATCAGGTCCTTTTCTAAGTCTGTCTCCTGTTATTTCTCCTAAATTTCAAAAACTAGTTTCCTTTACCTCATTGTCAGGAGGCTGGTGGGTGTAACACAGGCCCCGTGTTAAGTGGGCTGGCAGGAAGGGAGATTTCTCAGCAAAAATGGGTTCCTCATTTTCTCCTTCCACATATGGCTGGAGTCACTTGTACTTGTCTTTCATTTGACTTTTTCTTGCCTTAAGCCTAGTCCAGAACTTTTTAATGGGAGCTTTAATCTGCCAGTGCATTTTTGGGTAGTAAAATAATAACCTATTTTCTACAGAATGAAAATGTGGCCCTGGAGGTTAGTAGCTTGTCTGGTCCTTGGGATCCTGTATTCTATGGAGTCGGGAGGGAAGGCGAGAGCTGTGGACCCTGAAGCAAACATGAATGTGGTGAGTCTCTTGAAGTCCTGTGCTTTTGTGCTGTGCCTTGGCACATGTTACATGCTTGCATACAGTTACACAGACTCTGGGGAGCCGCAGCTCCACTCACATGTGCTCTAGAGCCTATTATGTTTTCTTTTCTCCAAATCTTAGATTCTGTTTGCTAGATTTCACCCTTGAGTGATGGTTTTAGAGTATGTAGAGCGCAGATTGAATTTAGAATATCTAAAGATCATTCATGGGTATGAAAGTCAATGTAGCTGAAAACAATAATTAGAAAAAATAAGCAAAACTATCACCTTGATTAATTAAAACATTTCAAAGTTATTCATCTTAAACATTTAAACCTGGAAATACTTTGCTTAGGCATAAAATATTGAAAAAAAGATTATTTAAGGTAATAACAACTTTAAAATAGAAGATACAGTGACCTAATAATTGATGAATCAGTTAACTAGCGACCCTGAGAAAAGTTCCTAGTGGGTGGTAGAGTGTGGCCTCATGGCATAGTCCTCCAGTGGAGTTTTGATTCTTATCGTAAAGCTTTTATTTTTCCCTCTTTTAACCAATTCTTTCCTGTAAGAATAATATAATTAAATCATTTCAAGTATTTATGTAGCGAGAAATGCTTATTTCTTAAATACTTATATAAATACTTATTTACATTAAATCTTCTATGTAATCGATGCATCAACATCCCCACACAAGTTATCCCATTGATTTCTTAAGAAGGATATTTGATCATAACTCTATATTTTTTCAGCTTTTCTTCAAGTGCATCTTGACATTCTAGTGTAAATTTTTTTTAGTTTACTGATTAAAAAATGGATCGTATTTTTATGCTTTCTTCGAATGGGACCTCTCAAAACAAGGAAGGTGCCAGCTGGCATAACACTCTGTCTAAATACAGAAAAGAGGGAAGTAGGTATTTTTAGTTCAAGCCTGGTAGGCAGGGTGGAAACAAAACCCTATCTATGGTAAATTAGAAAGGCTTGGTGCAGAGGGGATTGGAGTTATGACATCAAGGTTTAGCCAAATACCTGTGGATATGGAAGATTTATTCTTGTGATAGAATATTGGCTACTAGATTGGACGGACTGAAATAATAATAACAACTGATGTCTTAAATAAGCCCTGGAAAAGATGTTTGACATTTTGCTTTCTCCTTTGACTGTTAATGTGGAAAGTGGTATCAGGTTAACCATAGAGTACCCATCGTCCTTTCTCTCTGCAGACTGAAATTATCCGACACTGGGGATTCCTGGCTGAAGAACACCTGGTGGAGACCGAAGATGGTTATATTCTGTGCTTGCACCGGATTCCTTCCGGGAGGAAGAACAGTTCTGACAAAGGTTTGGGTGTTTTCTGTAGTGAGATAAGAAAGCTGTGAAAAATAACCGTTTTCTGGAACTTAGCTGGTTTTTATGTCTGTAGTCAAGTTCAGATTTAACTTCAAAATACTGAAATGGGATTAGTTTTAGACCAAACTACTACATGTGTTACATTTATTCAAGGCAAAGAAAAATACTTTTAAACAAGTAAGGATGACTCATCTAATTTCATATTTTCTTAAAGGTTCAAAGGTCAAATTCCTTGAAGCTGAGATAAAGAGTCTTCTCCTTTTGGATTGTCTGCTTCAGGAGGAAGCAGTACCCTGGCATGGTCAGCAAAGCCTGTAATTCCAGCACTCTGAAAGGCTATGGCAGGAGGCTTCCATATTCCAGCCTGCCTAGGGCAATTTGACAGTTTAATAAGACCCTATCTCAAAAAAACAAACAAACAAACAAACAAAAAAAAAAAAAAAACAAAAGCAGAAGCCTCCCAAAAGAACCAAAACAAAACAGAAAACAACAATAAAAAAGTTGAAAGGGATTGGGAATATACTTCATGTGAAAACCCTGGGTTTACTCTCTAGTGTCTCAACAACAAATAAACAAAGCATCCGATTTATTGAACTCTTTGAGCCTAAAGTAGATAGCTTTTGTTATTTGAAAATTGTGTGGTTTTCTGAATAGATAGTACAGCCACGCAGTACCAGAGATGAACAAAATAGAAGGATGCACAGTATATTACTTCCTGTCACATTTGCTGCTTCCAATTTTTAAAGTATCTTTCTGAAATCTAGTTTGTAATATGTGAAATTCAAAAGTTCATTAGAAATAAACATGGATGCTTCATTTTCTTTTTCTTTTTTTTGGCAGAACCGGGGATTGAACTCAGATCCTTTCGTTTAGCCAGTCAAGTACTTATCCTACTGAGCCATCTTTATCTCCCCAGCCCTAGATTGTTCATTTTCTTCTGCCTGCTTTTAAATTCAAAAAGTGCCATGTAATGCACCCCCTGCCGGTTTTGAGTTTTGTGTTTAACCCACAGAGCACCTGTTCTGCGGATACACGGTTCATTATGCAGCTGCACATGATTTAGGTAACCAGAATCCTTACTAAGCCTCTGTGCCATTTCTAGTTTTCAGCTAATAAACACTGCTGTTACAAAAACACGCTATCGGGGCTGGGGAGATGGCTCAGTAGAATAAGTGCTTGCCTGGCAAACACAAGGGCCTGAGTTCAAACCCTGGTTCCGCAAAAAAAAAAAAAAAAAAAAAAAAAAAAACACGCTATGTGTACAAGTCTGTCTATAAAATACATTTGCAGAAATAAAACTTTTGGGCCAGAGGGTAC